ACCATCTATAAAGGGATCTGATGCCCTCTTCTGGCATGCAAGTGTACATGCAGCACAGCACTCATACATAAAATAAATAAATAAACAAAATTAAAATAGTGCTAGGCCATACTCATAAAATAGGGAAAGGGCCCACAGAACTGAGTTGGAAGCTACCCTGGTCTATATCATTAAAAAAAAGAAGATAAAGAAAGCCTTAATGGGCTGGAGAAGCAGTTCAGTTCCAGAACTCTTGCCTAGAATGCATGAGGCCTGGCCTTGGGGCTCAATCTCAGACCCAAGAAGAAAACAACATGTTGTAAATAATCACCTCAAAAGAGAATTCTCCTCACACATCTCCCAGAAAGAGGACCCCAGCCTCTCAGTGCACTCCCTCGTTAATAGATGAGTTCATATTCACTAAGAGGTTGGGGGTGCCCTACAGAAATTTTTATACCAGGGAAAATACAACCTAAAATCACTTTCAGAGCATAATGAAATTAGCTACGGGTGTGAATCAGTAGTACAGCACTCAAAAAAAAAAAAAAAATAGACACAGGGCTGGAGAAATAGCTCAGGGGTTAAGAGCACTAGCTGCTCTTGCAGGGGATTCAAACAACCACATGGCAGCTCACAACTGTCTATAACTCCAGTCCCAGGGGACTAGAAGCCTCCTCAGTTACCAAGCACATATATGGTACACAGACATATATGCAGGCAAACACCTATAAACATAAAACTATAAATTAAAATTTTTTTGTTAAAGTCAGAAACTATTTAATATAATCCCTAATAACCTAGCTCAACAATCATGCTGGTTTTTTGGGGTTTTTTTTTTTTTTTTTTTTTTTTTTGGTTTTTAGTTTTTGGTTTTTTGAGACAGGGTTTCTCTGTGTAGCCCTGGCTGTCCTGGAACTCACTCTGTAGACCAGGCTGGCCTGGAACTCAGAAATCCGCCTGCCTCTGCCTCCCAAGTACTGGGATTAAAAAGGTGTGCGCCACCACTGCCCAGCCATGCTGGGTTTTTTCTAAGATTATTTCCTAATGTACGTGTGCCTTACATGAGTTGTATGTCCTCCACATGCATGCATGAGACTGGAGGACAGAAGACAGCATGATCCCTAGAACTGCAGTTACAGATGGGTGAGCTGCCTTGTGGGTGCTGGCAAGCGAACGAAAGTCCTCCAGGAAACCAGTAAATTCTCGTAACCACTGACTCACCTCCCACTCCCATTCAATAATTTTAATGAACCATTAGCATTTTTTAAAATATTATTTATTTTTATTTTATGTATATGACCGTTCACTATACAAATGCATGTGCAGCACTGGGGAAGACAGGTAAGGGCACTAGATGACATACAGCTCAAGTTTTAATAGGTTGTGACCTGCCACGTGGGTATTGAGAACCAAACCTGGGCCCTCTGAAAAGGCTGCAAGGACTCTTAACCCCTAAGCCAGCTCTCCAATTCCCTGTAGTAATTTTTAAAAACCATTCTAGCAAAACAAAGTGGTCCAGGCCTTCATTCTCACTTGAGAGACTGAAGCAGGAGGCTGAGTTCAATCAAAGCTGGCCTAGTTGCTAAACTAATTCACTTAATTATTCAGGGACTGACAAAAAGTAACAATAAACAATCCTGAGGTGCCATATGTCTCTAATCCCGAACCTGAAGGGTGAGGCAGGCAGAAATATAAGCTCCAGGTTCCACAACAGCCTGAGCAATGAGACCATCTCAAACCACCAAAGTGTGCTGGAGAGATGGCTTAGCGCTTTAAAGCACTTGCTATGCCTTCAGAGGACCAGGATTCCAGGCTCAGCATATGCATGGCAGCTCGCTATTTGTAACTCAATTCCAAGGCATCTGACATTCTTCTGGCCTCCACAGACACCAGGCACAGACACGGATGTGGTGCACCAACCAACATACATGCAGGCAAAACACCCATACATGTAAGTTTGCGGAGCTGGATTATATATAGTTCAGCGGTTAAGAGCACTGGCTGTTCCTGCAGAGGACCTAGGTTTGATTCCCAACACCCTCATAATGGCTCACAAACATTTTTTGTTTTTTTTTTTTTAAAGATTTATTTATTTTATTGTGAGTACACTGTAGCTGTCTTCAGACACACCAGAAGAGGGCATCAGATCACATTACAGATGGTTGTGAACCACCATGTGGTTGCTGGGAATTGAACTCAGGACCTCTGGAAGAGCAGTCAGTGCTCTTAACCACTGAGCCATCTCTCCAGCCCCCATGTTTTGTTTTTATTTTTTGAAACAGGGTTTCTCTGTATAGCACTGGCTATCTTGGAACTCATTCTGTAGACCAGGCTAGCTTCAGAGATACACCTGTTTCTGCCACCAGAATTCTGAGGCATAGGACACTAGGCCCTACTCACAAAGCACCCTTAAATCCAGTTCCAGGGATCTGACACCCTCTTCTGACCTTTTAAGCAATAAGCACGCACATGATGCACAGACATACATATAGGCAGAATACTCACACATATAAAAATAAAATAATCCTTAAAAAAAAAAGACAATCTTGATTATATGCTGAAGTCTGTGTTTTAAAGACCTCTTTGAAGGATGTTTTCTGATGAAAACATCCTCTGTAGCTGCTTACAATTAGAGCCTCAGGCTTTGCCTACAATCCCCAACTACAAAATGTACTACTATATGCCGAAAGCTAGCATGCGCGCCTTTTTGTTTTTTAATGCTGATTGGACAATTAAGTCTTTTCTATCAACATATAAAATACCCTATAATTTGGGATCACCGGCAGTTTAGATTACTGCTCATTTAAATTCAGAACCTGAAGCTACCTCCAGCGACAAGAGCTACAGTGGTTGGTATCACATTACTTATTACAAACAGAGGCTTCATCTTACAATGAAGCCTCAGGGTTCTACATCCCACAGACTATTATTTCTTTAAGGGTTTTAGTACAGCAAACAGTAGAAGCACTAAATTCAACAACTTAACAACTATCAAGTTTTTTTTTTTTTAATTCATGTAAATCAGTGCACCAGGTGGGTGCCTGATACCCACAGAGGCCAGAAGAGGGCGACCGATCCCCTGGAACTGGAGCTATAGATGGTTGCTGGATGCTGGGAGTCAATTCCAGGTCCTCTGGTAGAGCAGCAACCAGTGCTCTTAAGCACTGAGCCATCTCGCCAGCTTCTACAGGTTTTAAATAGCAAATAAGGAAAGCACTACTTCCCCTCCCCCACACACGTCTCCCTGTTCCTGCTCTCAGTATATACCAGCTGGGGTTTGTTTCTAATGGAAATACTTTAGTCTTTAGTCCCAAAGCCAAACTTACTCCAAGAAATGCTAACAGCCATTGCCTCAGAGAGGGTTTCGAGTGGAAGCGATTCCTTTTTCAGTGTTTTCCTTTTCAGATATGGAAAAACCTATTCTAAATAATTGATAGTCATTTAACTTTTTAAAAGAACAAACGGCTCACCGGGCAGTGGTGGCGCATGTCTTTTTAATCCCAGCACTTGGGAGGCAGAGGCAGGAGGATTTCTGAGTTCAAGTTCAGCCTGGTCTACAGAGTGAGTTCCAGGACAGCCAGGGCTACACAGAGAAACCCTGTCTCGAAAGAAAAAAAAAAAAAAAAAGAACAAACGGCTCACAAACTCCAAGGTTTCCACTGCCGTGTTAGTCTGTCCACAGCAGTGTTTGCTGAAGATCTAAATCCATACACCCTTAGCTCCAGCAACTCATTCCTGCAACAACCTGAGAAACATACTGTGAGAGGCTTTGGCACAGCAGAGATCAGCCAACCGATCCGAGGGCCGGCGTTTAAATCTCAGGACACAGAAACCCTGATACAGGACCTCTCATCTTATTCGGTCTACCTAACCCTGCAGCAGACAGGAGACTGACTCTCCTTCCTGGTTTTTTACCTCACAATCTTAATTACAAAAACAAGCTGGCTTTGAGGCGCAACTCAGAAACTGCAAAAAGGGGAAGTCTTCGAATTTGGGAGGGGAAAAAAGTTTCTCGACTTCAAGACACTCTCCAACCTTCCGTGTCATACAGTGTGGAGTCCTGGGCTCCTGCTGCGCGGGCCCAAGATGCTCTGGCCTCTCTCCCAGCTGCTCTTCTGGCTAACTTTTCCACCCTAGACACCCTCAAGCTGCCTAAGAAGTAGCACTCCCTCCCATTCTCTCGCAGGCTGTGCGGCTCGGGTTCATTTAAACTACTGCAAACAGAATCAATGAACGAACCTAGACTGAGAATTTCGGAAGATGAAAGCGACCACGGTGATAGCCGATACCAGACGGCAGAGCCCGTATCCACGCCGCACAGAGGGGAGACCCCACACTCATCCCATACAGACAGCAGAACCCGCATCCACGCTACACACACCTGGAACTCCTCATCCGCAAAGCATCCACCCTAGACACATCGCGGACCCCGCATCCACCCGGTCTTAGCCCCACACAGGCCGCAGACCTTACACTCAACCCTCACACCTCCACGCACCGGGCACACACCAGCACACACCTCGCACACCGCACTCCCTGCATCCACCCTGCAGACCCCGCACTCGCCCAGCATCCACCCCACACACCTGGCAGACTCGGGAGCCACACCACATACCTGGCACATCCCGCAGACTCCACATCCATTCCACACACCCCGCTCTGACCACGCACACACCCCGCGCTCACCCCGCGCGCACCGCAGACTCCGTGTCCGCCGCGCCCGCTCGCAGCGGAGCCGCAGCTTCTGCCGGAGGAGCCGCCCGCGTCCGCCCCGCCGGGCGGCGCCGGCGGGAAGAGGAGGCTACGCTGAGCTTCTCCGACCCGAGATTCGGCGGGGGGAGTCCCAGGAGCAGAGGCCGCGGCCGCGAACTCCTCGCGACCCTGCACGGGCCCCGGAGCCCAGCGCCGCCCGCCCGATCCCTGTCGCCTGAGCCGCGCGTTGCTGGCGACCCCAAGACCCCCGCCTCAGGCCATGCCGCCGGCCTCGCCTGCCGCTCGCCACTGCCTTTCTCTCCACTCACCGCTAGCCGCCATCTTCCCCAACGCTGTTCTCGATCGGAAACTCACAGCTCAGCCCCGGCCGCCGACACCGACTCCGCCGAGGCCGCCGCCGGCGCTCTGAGGAGCTGAGGCAGCCGCCGCTGAAGCCGCGGCGCGGGGGCCGCCGGGATTTGTAGTCCCGCGGCCACGCCCAGCACTACGGGTCCCAGGGGGCCGTGCGCGAGGCAAGGGGCGTGGCCGCGAGGCCTGGGTTCCCCTCAGCTCACCCAGCAGCTGGAGCTGAAGCGGGCGTCCTGGGTTCGTTTTCCTATGTTCCTGTCTCGATCCTGGAATTCCTGACATCTATAGAGTGTTCATTGTGCGCCAAGCACTATTCCTCAAGACCAATAGCTGAGGGGGCGTTGTCCTTACTTTTTAGAGGAGCAAACTGATGCCCGAGGTCAGGAGCCCTACTAAGTCATTGACATGAAAGGGTTTTGGGTCACAAGGTGTTCAGTCCCCAGGTGTGGTCTCTGAGTATCGTGATTTAAATCAGAGAACAGCATGCGTTACAAGAACTGTAGGGAGAACTGAGAGACACCACCTTAACCAAATGCTCCTTAAACTTGGTGCCACCAGAAGTGGCTCAAACTGTCACCCTATGTCTCCTGATAGAATGCGGTGCAGAGAGCAGAAAGCTACCAAGATAGTATATCTTCCCAAAGCAAACCAAAATAAGTGACCTGAATCTAACGGAATAGGAAAAAACAAACAAACGTAGAATGTGCGGCATTCTACAGAATCAGCCTCTCCACCAAGAGAGCAAACCGTAGCAAGTGAAGCCAATCCCAGTGACCCCATGCCTCTGACGATGAAACAGAAGAAACAAAAATTCAAAGTCATCCTCCGAAAAGGGATTTAAAGCCAACCTGGGACGGGGGAGCAAGGGGAGTAGTCTGACCAAAATAAATAAAGTCAAAGTCAAATGCAGTAAGTGTAGACCAGGCTAGCCGTCAACTCAGAAACCCAGCTGTCTCTGCCTCCCTAGTGCTAGATTAAAGACATGCACTAGCACCCCGGGTTTTTGGATAGTTTTTATGTAAAAAGAACTTGAAATGCCGGGCGGTGGTGGCTCACGCCTTTAATCCTAGCACTTGGGAGGCAGAGGCAGGCGGATTTCTGAATTCGAGGCCAGCCTGGTCTACCGAGTGAGTTCCAGGACAGCCAAGGCTATACAGAGAAACCCTGTCTCAAAAAATCAAAAAATCAAAAAAAAAAAAAAAAAAAACAACTTGGAAAGGAATTTGGAGTTAGTGGGATAAAGTAGACAACATCTTGGAACACAACTATGTAAAATGTCTTGAGTGTGAATAAAATTAACCCTATCCTAAATCTCCACTGTCACCTCAAGGATCCCCACCTTCACTATGGCAGTTCTTGCTTTACTGTTCTGCAGTTGACCACTCTTCACCATTGAAGTTATTCACACAGCACCCAAGTCCCAAGCCTGGTGTGGTTGTGCACACCCTTAAGCCCTGTACTCAGGAGACAGAGGCAGGTGGATCTTTGAGTTCCAGGCCATCCAGGGCTACATAGGGAAATCCTATCTTAAAATGTATAATAGTATCTTAAAATTTAAAATTTATAAATAATGATTCTAAATGTAACAAAAGTACATTAAAAGGAATAATTATTTATTCAAGTACAGTATTATACTGAAAATGTATTTAGGCATAGACAGATTGTGTATATGTTCAGAATATAACAGATATGAACAGTAAAAAAAAAAAAGACATTCAATTATGTCAGAAAAAGATACAAAAAGAAGCCAGACATCTGCTGCTTTGGGTGGGATAAGCAGGGGACCCTGCACTTCAACAGCATCTGGCAGGAACGAGAGTCAAAATTGAAAGTTGCTGGCTGACTCGCTCAGGTAGATAATCAGCAAAGACGCTGCCTTCATCCTTCCCTGTTTGCCCAGACCACTCCTCCACGAGGGATTGACTTGTGTCCCTTCTTTGAATTAGGGTTGGTTTTAAGACTGTTGCCCAAAGGAAACACAAGTCACAGGGCGAAGCCCTCAAGAATGCTCTCAGCTCCCACTTCCTCTTTCCTGGCCCCAACTCTCTCTCTCTATGAGACTCCAAAGGGAAAGGAAGCACTCCAGTTGACAGAGGCTGAGGTCCCCGGCAAGACCCAACAGCAGCTGCCAGCCCTGTGAACAGCCTTCTTGTATGTCCCTGTCCTTCGAGGGCCCTGATGCTTACATCACCAACAAGATTAGCACCAGAGCTAGGCCAGGTAGGACACACCTGTAACCCTTGCATTTAGGAGGTAAAAGGATAAAGGTTATCCTCCACTATGTCCGAAATTCCAGGGCAGCCTACACATGGTAACCTGTAATCCCAGGATTCAGGATTATCGAGGCAGCAGGATTGTCAGGAATACCAGGCCAGGCATGCCAGGGCTACCCAATAAGAGCCTATTGGAAGGAAGAAAGATGGAGGGAGAGAGCAAGGGAGAGAGAAAAATTAGTTCAAATTCCAAAAAGGAATGTATTCTACTGGTCACATTTCACGTTGTATATGTAAGGAACAGATCCAGCAGAGTGGTTTTAAAAACCTAAGGAGTACGTACGACTTGTCAATCAGTTGACTAAGATGAAGTATAAAACCCTAACAGAAGGCCAGCAAATGGTTCAGCAGATAAAGGCCCTTGCCATCAAGCCTGCAGAGTGAGGTCTCAGTATGGAAGGAGAGGACCAAGTCCCGAAAGCTGTCCTCCGACACACATACATGCTCCACCCTCTGCCATAAAAGAAAGGCAGTCATAGTTCTATAAGCTGAAGGTCCTTCCTACAATTTACTCTCAAATGTCTCAAGGAGAAAAAATACAGGACAGTGGCAAGAGTAAGTGTGAGCAAACGTGGCACGGTGAGTAGACTTCCTTTTAGAACACTGTGCAAGCTAGTTGGTTTTATTTTTCCGTTGTTTTGGTTTTTTTTTTTTTTTGGCAATTTGACACTAACTAGAGCCATCTGGGAAGAGGGCATCTCAAGTGAGAAAAGGCTTCCATCACACTGACCTGTAGACAGATCTGTGGCTCATTTTCTTGATTAATGGTTGGTGTGGTAGGTCTAACCCCTGTAAGGGCGGAGCCACCCCAAACAAGTAGTTCTGGGGTGTACAAGAAAGCAGGCTGAGCAATCCAGTGGGTAGTGTTTCTCCATGGCCTCGGCTTCAGTTCCTGCCTTGGCTTCCTCAGTGATGGACTCCTAAGTGGAAACCAACCCTTCTGGTCCTGGTGTTGATCACGGCAACTCAAAGCCAACTACAGACAGGTTCACAGGCGTCTGCCGCTTTGGGTGCTAGGGATGAACCCAGAGCTTTATACAAGTTAACTACTCCATCTAGCACTGAGCTGTGCCCTCGACCGGCGTTTCTCATAGACTTTCGAATTTTCTGTAGACTCAAACGTTTCCAAAGTAGGAAAGTTGGATGTTGTGGGACTCATGTCAGACAGGGAGGACGGTACCAGCCAGAACTCATATGTTTCAAGTACTTTGGGGTTTTATTTTTGTTTTCTGAATGGGTTTGTTTTGTTTTGTCTTGAGGCAGAGTCTTAAGCTGCAGCCCAAACTGATTTCAAACTCACAGCAGTCCTCCTGGGACCTGAAGGACGGCAGCACACCCAAGAATTTTTTGTACCTCTTCACCTCCATTTATGTAATCGTTGCATGGGTGCTGATTATCCCCATTTCAGAGATGAGAGAATGGAGGCTTTGAACAAGTCAGTCACTTGATGAAGGACAAACACCTGGCCAAGCCTCGGGCTCTTCCGCATTGAACCTCTTCACCTATGCGCAAGCGACAGAGATCTCTAACAGTCTCTGGACATTCCTAGGAGTAGCTCAGGTCTTGACCTTTTTGTTAAAATCAAGAGTAGCAACAGGGCAGGAGGATTTAATTCCAGCTCTTGGGAGACAGAGGCAGGTAGATCTGAGTTCGAGGCCAGCCTGGTCTACAGAGTGAATTCCAGGACATCCAAGGCTACACAGAGAAACATGGTCTCAAAAAAAACAAACTAAAATAAAATCTAAAAAAACAAACAAACAAACAAAACAGAACAACAACAACAACAGCAAAAAAAAAAACCCAACAACAACAACAAAACCCTGAGCAACAATTACTTCGAGCCTGCTCATAAAGCCCGGGGCTCTTAGGGTTGGTTGTAGCCTCTCCTCACAGCAGAACACAGCTCTGACCTCAGCCTCCTGCTCACCTGGGGACTGTTACAGCTGCAGAATCACATCAAGTCACAAGGAAGCCCCCAAATTCGGTCGGCATTGGGACCAGTGTCAGCAGGAATACTATGCCCACACACTCTTTTGTTTTGTTTTGTTTTGTTTTGTTTTGTTGTTGTTTTTCAAGACAGGGTTTCTCTGTGTAGCCCTGGCTGTCCTGGAACTCACTCTTTAAACCAGGCTGGCCTCGAACTCAGAAATCTGCCTGCCTCTGCCTCCCAAGTGCTGGGATTAAAGGCGTCCGCCACCACCACCCAGCACCCACACACTCTTTTTCTCTCAATACCCCACATTCCCTAGCTCAGTCAAATGACCCCCTGATAGCTCACAGTAAGTAGGGATCTGGGCCAGAAGGCCAGCTCTAGGTGAAGCAGAATGCAGGAGCCCAAGTGAATATTTCTGCCTTAGGCTTTAAAGTGAACAGGTGAGTGAAAGCCTCTTGCTTGTGCAATCTAGCCCAGGGCCTTCCTTTCTTTGATTGTTATACGGCCTCACTTTCTAGCACAGGCTGACCAGGAATCCACTGCATAGTCCAGGCTGGCCTGACCCCCACGGTGCTCCTTCAGGCTCTGCCTCCCCATAGCTAGGCTCACACATGTGAGCCTCTATGCCTGACTCCCAGAGACTCTGCTTCTGTCTCCTTGCTGTCCCTGGCCCCTGAATTCATCTTTTACTGTGTTACTAGGGGCTGAGAGTATGGGCTGTAGGGCTGGAGGTATAGCTCAATGGTAGCCTAACATGCACAAAGCCATGGAGTTAATCACCAGCTCTGAACAAAAGAGGTTAAAAAAAAAAAAACAAAACACAACTCTGTAGTGCTAGATAATCCCCGGTATTTGGAGGCT